CGCGCTGCCACAGCGGTAGCTGCCGGCTAGGATCACAAAGCCTCTACCGCTGTGTCCTGGCGCGGCTGTGCCGCCTGCAGCAATGGGGAGAAGGGAGGCAGGTATTTCGTGATGCGCAGCCCTTGTCTGTGGGGTCGGAACATGAACGTGTTCCTCTGGGCATGTTGTGAAACGGTAAGGAGCTCCCTTGCGTATGGCACCAGCCTGGCGCTGTTAGTTACAGGACGCGGTGGTGCCGCCTCCGCGCTTCACTGCAGCAGCTTTTTCTCTTCGTTGAGAAAATGAGAACTGTAAGGGGACAGAAAGCTGGCTGTACTGCTGCACTCAGAAATGTACTGATAGGTGGCCAGCTGCGAGCTATGAGGCAGCAGAAATATTGGGGATTCTTATAAGAGGAATGTTGTATGTTTAACGAACCCTAAAATTCTCTGACTCTTTAAAAAATTACATTGCAAAGATATGCCTAGATCTGTGATTTAACCTGAATGCTCTGGAAAATGTTAATGGGTGGGTACTTTCTTTGTCAGATATGCAGCTTTTATTCTAGTAGTTAGGTCATTGCCATCAAAATACACCTTAGTTTTGCAAAAAACCCAAGATTTTTGGAAGACACGTGCTGCTGAATTATTTAATCGTATTTACTATTTGAGTCAAAACTTAAAATCTGTTCTGTTGACTTAGGTGTAGGACTCTGCGAAGCGTAGGGAGCATTTTTCATTTGATAGTTTTCTTCAATGGATCAGCAAAACTCAGTTGACTGGTTTGGATAGTCATGTTGAAAGATGCCTTTTAAAGGTGTAGCAGGAAGTGTACAACTTCTTAGTTTGCATAGAAGTATTTTTATTAAGTTGCTTATATGAATAATACAATATGGATTAATTTCAACTTAAATATTTTTCCTTTCTCTGTTTGTTCTGTTGAAAGTGCACCTTAATATTTTTATACTTTATTTTTACTATTTAGTTAACTTTTTTGTTATTTCTAATGCACTTAATTTCTGAACGTTTTATCGAAATTACAGTTCTTTGAAAATATACAAATATATGCACTGAAAGTAGTTTCCTGGAACCAGACTTCTGTATTTTTAAGGAGACTC